CAGAGGCAGGATTTAGATTTTCTGGCTTCTGTAGCGTTGCTTTCCACCAAGATGCCACATGTGGGGAATGACTTCCAAATAGGAAGGTAAGTAGAGTCTGGGCAGCACACATCTCCCAAAAATATCCAACATTACAAGGACAATGACATGTATTGGCCTAGACTTCTTACGATTTTTTTCAAGTGTCTATTTTTTAGAGAGAGAGAGAGAGAGAGAGAGAGAGAGAGAAAGTGAGTGAGGAGGGGCAGAGAGAGAGGGAGATAGATGATCCAAAAAGGGCTCCATGCTAACAGCAGAGAGCCTGAAGCAGGGCTTGAACTCACATGCCATGAAATCATGACCTGAGCTAAAGTTGTACACTCAGTGAACTGAGCCACCCAGGGACCCCAACCCCTTATGATTTTTCAGAGCTGTTTTACTCTACTGTGGGTTTTCAAGATGATAGTATGAATTTTGTGTTTATCAGTGAAAATTTTTTTGTGCAAACATTTAAATCTTACCTAGAAATCATACCCAGACCAAAGAATAGTATGTCTCAAGTTAGGACCTACTGTATATGGAATTCACCTTGAATAGTTAGGAGAGAGAATATTGGACAACACCGAGAGAGATTACATTATATCTGTCAGTGGATCATCATCTAGTGTGAAAAAAGGAGGAAAAACAGAAAGTAGAGTTTAAATAAAGTTAAAATTTGTAGGGCAATTACCAGGTCATTGGAACTCCCTCAACATGAATGGAATAACCTGAATGTAAGAAATAATTTGGGACAAAAGCCTTGAGTTTACTTATTAAGCTTCCTGTTTCCCATGGTAAGCTGAGATTCTTACTTTAGTCATTCTATATTTTGCAATATGGTAAATAAGTTCTATGATAATCCAGGACAGAATGTCTTATCACCCTAGATACAATGTGCCTTAAACTGTTGTCCTAGCCAAATATCATTCCAGTAGTTTAGGACTGCCAGTGATCAACTGAAATATTTGGTTTGCACCATGCAGTTCAGCAAGCATTTTGTTTCACCTTATTTCAAAGGGATAAGACTCACAGACTTCAAGGATAAAACCCGAAAAGAAATTTTAATAGAAAAAAATGTTTTTTCTTTTAACTTTTTTTTTTTAATTTATTTGTTTTCAGAGAGAGAGAGAGAGAGTGAAAGTGGGGAAGGGGCAGAGAGAGGGAGATACAGAATCCCAAGCAGGCTCCATGCTGTCAGCACGGAGCCCAACACAGGGTTCAAACTCACAAGCCGTTGAGATCATGACCTGAGCCAAAATCAAGAGTCAGATGCTCAGCCACACAGGCGCTCCTGCTTCTTATCTCTTGTTGTGGAATTCTGAGCCGGGTATTGAACTCAGTCTCAGAAACACCCATCCAATCCTGCCATGGTCATCCCCAAGCCTGAGATCCTGGAGGGAAATGCTGAGTTACAATACACGTGGGTAGAGAAACACTTTATTTTGAGCCAAGCCAGAGCAGGTGTCCCAAGCCCCTGAGTGGACCACTATGTATGAGCTGATTGGGGGACTTTCACGGGGCAGGAGGTCCCACAACCCACAGGGCTATTTGCATGGAATTATTCTTCCTCAGGATTACACCATCTAGAATAGCTTCCCAAAACATGGTCTTTATCACCAGTATAATGAAACCGATGAAATTTAATGTTCCATTCAAATAATATAGTAAAGCTTATTTAGGCATTTATCAGCTCCCAGTGTAATAAAGAAATCATGTTTTCACAGGATTATTTTCCTAATTCGTTCCTCTTATTCTGGCTGTGTTGTAAGGATCACCTACTTTCCTGCTGCCAGCATTGGGGAAATACAGAAAAGGAACAGAGAAAGGGGAGTAGGTGAGGTTTTGCATGCGATTTGCATGTGACATCATGTGACCAGGTATTACATGTACCTTGTATCCTGCCCTTGAGCAGAAGGGCAGGGCTGGGAGAATGAAATGCTTTTTGCCAAGAGTCCTGTTGTTAAATCTCACTTTTTTGTTCATCATGCCGGTCAAACTGTGGATGTACTGGGGGCTTCCCTCTGCCATTAGCTTGTAAGTGGTTTCTTGGGGTAAACCAGGAATACCAACATAGCTAGGGCATGGAGAGACTTTGTAAGTAATACTTGTCTCTCTTGTTTTCTGAGAAACTACAGGTATTGTGCTAAAAATGAAATATGTCTGGGGGCTCCCAGCTGGCTCAGTCAATAGAGCGTGCAACTCTTGATCTTGCGGTCATGAGTTCAAGCCCATGTTGGGCATGGAGCCTACTTAAAGGAAGGAAGGAAGGAAGGAAGGAAGGAGGGAGGGAGGGAGGGAAGGAAGGAAGGAAGGAGGGAAGGAAGGAAGGAGGGAAGGAGGGAGGGAGGGAGGGAGGGAGGGAGGGAGGGAAGGAAGGAAGGAAAGAAATAGGTTTGAATGCTTATTGATACTTTCAGGTAACAATCTCTGCTGGCTTAAAACATGGTCTTGCCAATGAACGTGCAGTAGCATGTGAAATTCTCCCCCCTTCTCCTTCTCTTGTCCTCAGAATCTGGGTTCCTAGAGGCTGGTCCAGCACTGGGGAGGCAGCATTATCACTTACTCACTGGCCTCCATTGAATTTCTTATCCTCATTTTGGCCCCATCAAGGCTGTCCATCCAGCGGCCTCTGCTACAGCAGCCCAGAAAGAGCAGACCTAGGCCGGCCGACTAGTAACTATATCCCTGACATGGCCTCAGAAAGAAGTTGCCGCTCAAACCTCAGACCACGCCTCCTCCCCTGGAGTAACTTATGTTTTCTAAGAAAGCAGGCTACCGATTGATGCATTCCTCTGAAGTCTAAGGTGGGAGGAAGGGGAGTGTGAGAGGCATGGAAAGTGTGAGTAGAAGAGGGAGGGCTTCTCTCAAGTAGGGGCCAGAGGCAGGAGCCCTCAACCCTGTCCAGGCTTAGAATGACCTGGGAGCATTTTACCCCTCCCCAAACCAATTAAATCAGAGTCTCTGGGGATGGTGTTTGATGCTAGGTATTTATACAGCACAACAAGTCTGACAGCCAATGGTTAATAGGTGACCAGTGAGAAACGTTCTGTATATATTGAGACCAAACATGTTAGAGACCCTCAGACACAGTGGTTCTTAAACTTCAGGTGCATCAGAATCTCCTGGAAGACTTGTTCAAACACAGATTGCTGAGCCCCACCCCCAGAGTTTCTGATTCAGTAGCTGATCTGGGACCACACCTTGGCAGCCATTGTTCTATCCTTCCCCAGCCAATCGGCTGAGGCCACGACCCTTCCCCAGCCAATCGGCTAAGGCCATGATCCTTATAAAACCTTTGTGCTCTTGAAACCCGCTCTCTCTCTCTCCGGTATCTCACCTCTGCGTCGGTGCAGGTAGGGGATTGAGCTTGAGCTAGCTCGAATAAAAGCTCTTTGCTTTTGCATCGGACTCGGCTCCCTGGTGGTCTTTGGGGATCACGAATTCTGGGCATAACAGCCCCTCACTGGCCCCATGGGCATCCCGATGCTCATTCTTAGCTCTTTTGCCTACTGTCTCCAGGAGCCTCAGTGACTTTTCCAGACCTCCCCATTGTCACCCAGGCCCATGGGAGTCAAGATTGGAATAGTGGGAAGCGGCTGTCAGTCTCTCTGTAGCTAAATAGACCACCTTGTACTGTACTTCCATCCCAGGTAATCCCAAGGTCCTCCTGGGGGAAACCAGTTAGGAACTTCTCCAATCTGGGATTCTCAGACCCTCTCAATCTCTATCCAGCACCTTCTCCCCATGCCTCATGGAATTTTCATCAGAACAGAAAGTAGGCCCCACACTCAGGTCTTAACCTGGTCTCCAGCTCTCCCCCACTGTATTCAAAGAGCTTTCCCCCTCCTTCTGTGGCCTGACCACATATCCCCCAGCCTGCTTACTCTGTGGCCTAGGGCAGTGGTTCTCAAACATGGGTGTGCACCACCTGGAAGGCTCAGTACAAGTTGCTGGGCCCACCCCCAGAATTTCAGGTTCAGTAGGTATGGCCGGTAGAATAATTGCCTCTAGTAATGATAAGAGCACACAATTCCCCGGAACCATATGTGACCTCATGTGGCAAAAGAGATTTTGCAGATGTGATTAAGTTAAAGGTCTTGAGATGAGGAGATTATTCTGGATGACGTGTGAGCCCAGTGCCATCACAAGCGTCCTAATAATAGGAAGGCAGAGGTAGAGGAGACTAGACCATGGAAGCAGAGGTTGGAACGATGCAAAGGAATATGGGAGGTCTTTGGAAGCTGGAAGAAACAACAAATGAATTCTCTCCTAGAGCGTCCAGAAGGAACACAGGTTTGCCAACAACTTGATTTTAACCCTGGAAGAACCATTTCAGAATTCTGACCTCCAGAACTGTAAAATAGTAAACGCACAGTAAAACCTTGGTTTGTGAGCATGATTTGTTCCGGAAACATGCTTGTAATCCAAAGCACTTGTATATCAAAGCAAATTTCAAGAAATACTGGTTCAGTTGTGATCGTGTGACATTTGGCATCACTTAGTACTCATATTGCAAGACATGGCTCATTTATCAAGTTAAAATTTATTAGAAATGTTTGCTCACCTTGTGGAACACTCGCAGAACAAGTTGCTGACAATCCAAGGTTTTACTGTATTTTGTTTCAAATTGCTAAGTTTTCCATAATTTGTTACAGGAGCCATAGGAACCTAAGATATGATTGGGTTGGCTTCTGAGAATCTGCATTTCTAATAGGTTCCCAGGTGATGCTGATGCTGAGGTTCAGGGATCACTTTGAAAAAAACACTGACTTTTAGTGAAACACACAATCCTAGGTCCCCTCCAAACTCTGGTTATACAAACCCTCTGCTCCCTCCACATCCGAATCAAGCCAGTGGAAGCTTTGGCCTTGACGACTCTCATCTCCAAAAAGTGCCTATTTTGGACATCATCAGTTAAACTTTGATTTTTATTTTTTCCTTTCTTTCTGCTCTGCTGTAAAGCAATGACTACCAGGCATGAATAGCCATTAAAAATTTATCAGATTAATAATTTCATAACTGTTTATCTCACTATCTTGTTATTTATTATTTTATTTTGGGGGGAAATTGCAGAGCATTGTGAGTTTATCCTCCTAAAATCTCCAGGAGGTTGGAAAATAGAGAAAGAAACTTCACATTCTAGACAGAAAACGGGACAAAGAGAGGTTTGCAATGAATAATGTCTGGACTTCTGCTTCCCTCATGTCAAGCTGCTATTTTTTCTAGCTCCTTTTATGTCCCTTCTGTTCACCAGCTCCTCCCCTTTTGCCCCCTGCAGGTGAACTTGACCCCCACCTCTCTTAGTATCTGAGCTTGCTCCCTTTGGCTGATTTCTCTAGGTAATGATGCTGGTTTTCCAGCCTGGGATGCTCAGAGGAAGGTGAAAGTGATAGTTACTATGGACACTAAATCAGCCATTCACATGCCCTGGGTCTGCCAAAAGGCCACTGGGGCCTGCTTGAGATGGGAAACCTCATCCTATTTTCTCCAGGGCTCCAGACAGAGGAAGGGAGAGGAGGTGCACAGAGCACTGATTACACACTTGAACCAGTACCTTGAATACAGTAGTTACAGCAGGCTGTCTATTCACAGCGAGAAAAACTCCATTTGACTATGATCCTTGCCAGTTCTTCCTCTTTTTCCCTTCTCTATCTCATTTTTCCTGTCATCTCTTTGTCTTCCTCCTCTGGCAGGCAGTGGGATCCAGCCTGGATTTCAATTTGAACTGCCTTTTGCTAGCTGTGTGACAATGAATGGGCAACTTAACTTCTCTGATCCTTCATTCCCTTACCTGTTAAGTAGGGGTGAAGATACCTACCATGGTTCTCTAATGAGAACTAGATGAGAGAATATCTGAAATGTATGTGTGCAGAGCAGGCTGACCCTCAATTCACATTTGTCATGGGGGTCATTTCTAGCCACCAGCCTTCTCAGCATTAATTCCTATTCAACCAACAGACTTCACAGGAAATACAAGGTAGGAAACCACAACTTTAATGGGAAGTTCAGGTTTCACTTTCATTCCAAGACTAACACTCCTCACATATTTGCCTACATGCCTTGTTCTTCAGTTAGGCCTGCTTAGTTAGCGCCTTGGGCATGCTCCCTCTAAAGTGATACAACTTTTTGCTAAAATAATCAAATATGCCAGTAGGACTAAATGAAACAAAGCAGAGCATTGGATAAGCCATCGGCCCTGGCGAGTAAAAGGCAAAGGGGCTCTTAGCAGACACGGCATGCCGGATGTCCAGGAGCACAGGGGACATATCAGTGTTGGTACACCTGCTGATGAACTTGAGATAATCCCGTTGCTCAAGGATATAGTCCTGCCCATAGTCCTCTAGCACTTCGGGGGTAAGGTTGTCCAGGATGTCCTGTTCCAGCTTGTTCCACATTTCACTCGTGCCCGCGATACCTGTGATGCAGGAAGAAGGGAGGCTCAGATTCTGGGGAGGCCAGACTGGACGTGTCCGACCCTACCAGGGATGCAGGCCCTTGTGAACTGGCTTCCGTTGGAAAGACAGGCATTCCCAAATGGCTTTTTTTTTTAAATGAGCTTTATAATGGTATGTAATACACTTTTCAGCATTCATATGGAAAAGTACACACATGTCTAGGTTTCCACAAGCTGAATAGCCTGTGTAACCAGCAGCAGAAAGAGAAAACAAGCCAGCCTCGGAGCCTCCACTCCCAACCCCCTTCCCAGGATCCTCTGTCCCAATGACCAGGATGGAGCAGTTTTGCCTGGCATTGGACATTATGTAAATGGAATCACACACTACATTCTGAGATTCATCCATGTATTGTGTGGTCATTCTCATTGTTGTGGTTTTCCATTGTGTAAATATGCCATAAATTATCCATTATACTGTGATGGGCATTTGAGTTGTTTGCAATTTGGGGGTCTTACAAACAGTGCTGCCACAAACATTCTATTACATCTGTTTTCATGATTATTATATACAATATAAAATATAATGTATACAATATATATAATATGTATGAACATGTGTATATACATTTATGTATAATTTTTTAATATAGAAGCAATACCAACTTCTATGTATAAAATTAAATATACAATGTTAACTATCATCCTATCTATTTAATAAATATAATTTTAAATAATATATAACTTATGCATTTAAATTTTAGCATATAAATTATATGTAATTAAATATATAAACATATTTGATATAGAAACAATGGGTGCTTATTATATACAATTTAATTATATATACATTTACTTTAAAATATTATAGCAATGCTTGTTCATTATGTAAAATAAAGTAAATAATGAAATGTATATGTTTTTAAAATTAATCTCTTCTAAGGTAACTTACAGTTTTGTGTGTCTTTCTACATTCCTTCCTTGTTTATACAAACATGTACACACATAGGGCCGCTTGGGGGACTCAGTGAGTTGAATGTCCAACTTTTGATTTCAGATCAGGTAATGATCTCACGGTTTGAGTTTGAGCCCTGCGTTTGGCTCTGAGCTGACAATGCAGAGCCTACTTGGGATTCTCTCTCCCACTCTCTCTCTGCCCCTCCCCTACTCCCTTGCACTCTCAATCAATCAATCAATCAATCTCTCTCTCTCTCTCTCTCTCTTTCTCTCTTTGTCAGAAATAAATAAACTTTTAAAAAAGGCTTTGTGGGTGCCTGGGTGACTCAGTCAGTTAAGCGTCCGACTTTGGCTCAGGTCATGATCTCACAGTTCATGAGTACGAGCCCCCCACGGGGCTGTGTGCTAACAGCTTGGAGCCTGGAGGCTGCTTCAGATTCTGTGTCTTCCTCTCTCTCTGCCCTTCCCCCGCTCACATTCTCTCTCTCTCTCTCTCTCTCAAAAATAAATACACATTTTTTTTTAATTTAAAAAAAAAGGCTTTGGTTTAATCTTATTTTACCAGGAACAAAATGCCCAAAGGATCATTCCAAAGATTTGCTTGTTTGTTTGCTGAATAATAAATCACAGACCTGCCTCCAAAAGTCAATGGCTATAGATTTAAACCAGAGCAGCAGAAATTTCCCATTGAACAGCTTTTAGGCAACCACTTCTCTATCAAAGGACTTTCCAGTCATTCCTAGATTTCACCATTTCAGTGACGCTGCCATAAACAGTCTTGCATAACACATCCTTTTGTATTTTAGCGTTTTACCTCTGCAGGCAGCCTCTACAGTGTGGCTGCGTGGTCAAAAGGCACATGCATTCTGAATTTTAATACCTACTGCCAGATTACTTTCCACAAAGGATGCAGCACCTCACATTCCCTCCTGTAAAGTGTGGGATTGCTCTGGGATTGCTATGGGGATGATCCTTAGTTTACCAGCTTGAGTGACTCCTGGATATCGGATATTGGGCCTGTGAGGGAGCCTGACTGTGAAATGCAAGCCAGTGAAATCCAATTATACCCACCGAAATGCAAAAGGATTTCAATTGCTCATTACTTTTCATGAAAACACAATACCACACGTAAAGAAATGATTACCCTGACAATTACTCCCAAGGCTTCTGGGTCTTGAAAAACATGTTTGTGTGAACTATTGTTCCTCCAGCTACCTCTCCCTGTCTTGGCTTTCTCCAAGGCGAGGGATTCCTTTTCCTCTCTTCTTCCTCTCTAAACACCTCATGGACTTTCTAACCATTCTTGTGAGTACCCTGTGCAGAGTCCTCAAGGCTCTCTTTACTGGTGACAAAGCCACCAGAAGTTTGTCAGCTTTCATCTGCCACTTTTGACACCCACTAGCTGCCACTTTGGGGCTATACACAATGAAATTGTTGAGGTCACTTGGATCCAAATCCCATCTCTGACTCACACACCTCTGTGACTTAGGAAATTTCCCAACTTCTCTGAGGCTCAGCTTTCTCCCTACAGGATGGGAATATTACTGATGTGGGGAACAAAGGCAAAAGAAACGTACATAAAATTGAATTTCCTTATAACGGGCAGCCCATTGATGAATACATCAGGCAGGCAAAATAAACTAATCCTCCAGAAACTCTCAATGTTGATGTTAATGCTTTGCCAGAGGCAAAAACAACCTTGGCTTGCCAACATCCATCCAGGCCTCCAGGATCCTGTAAGTCTTCTTTAACACACGCAAATCCTTTTGGAAACTTCCTTTGTCTTATCTTCCCCCAACTTCCAAGGGTATAATCAGTCTCCCCTCACAACCTCAGTGCAGCTCTTTTTGCCCACGGGTCCTGTCCGTGCTTTAATAAAACCACCTTTTTTGCACCAAACATGTCTGAAGAATTCCTTCTTGACCTTCAGCTCTGAACTTGAACAATTTTCCACGTCATTTTGGGGCCCTGACGTGGGGCTTTGAGTCTTTTCACCTGGACTCTGAGCCTCGGGGCAAACTTGGCGAGTCCTTCCTCTCTCCTCCCTTTGCTCTCCTATCGGGCTTTTCAAGGAGTATGGTCTTATTGGGACATTTTCATGTCAATTGCTCAGGCTGCGATCCTCTAGCCCACGGCTACCCTGCCAGGAGGAGAAAGCCTACCTTTGGGCTGGAAGTTAGTACCCAGGCAGGAACGGTAATAAGACTCAAAAACTTGAGGCCTTTTCTTTATTTCTGTCCTTATACAAAGTTGTCTGCCTGTCTTGGGCACAGGACAGCCACCTAATGACTAGCACAGCTGCTGATCTTAAGACTCCTGTGTGAAGCTTCCTCTCATTGGTCTAAAGTGATCCCCTGGTCTAGCCTCTTCTGGATGCCAGAACTGCACTCAGAGCCAGCTGAAACCAGTACCCAATTCAATGAAAGCCCAACTAGGACCATTTCCTAGAGAAGTTGGCTATAAAGATTACTTGCGTTGGAATGTCGCTTAGACCATGATGGATTTCTATCTCTACTGTTTTCCATCAGTGTCCTCTACTAACTACTTAAACTACAGAATTGGGTAATTTCCCCTTGTCAAAACCTTTCTAATGTTTTCCATGGGTTAAAAACAGTGGGTTCTTCAAGGCCTTCACAGCAAGGTAGGGTATTTTAGTCCATTCACTGGCACCTGTTTGTAGTGTAGGATTTGATGAGGAAGCAGAGGGATGCTAGCTAGCATCCTTCCTACGGGGACTTTACAGCAGGGTGGTGATCATAGCAGTTTTGTTCAAGGGACACCTTGGGTCGCTTTGACAACAGGGACCTATGGCATTGACTGTGTGGGATGCCACCTGGGAATCAGAGGGGATTTTTGATAACGGATCTTCTCTCTTCAGTTCCCAAGGACTCTCCTTTGGAATGCCTTTTAACCCCCTGGAAACAATTCAGATTGCAAAATTTAAGAAAGGACTGATCTGTAACACTGCATGGCCTTAGTGTGACCTCTAAGTTAGATCTCTCCTGTGGGAAACCGGGGAAATGGATAGAAGTACCCCTAGGTCCAGACCCACACGGCCCTAAATGAGGACCCTGCCTAACAGCCTCTTGCAGAATGTGTTTGGCCAGTAAACCCCCTCCTGATACACTGGATGATAATTGTCTAAATAAGCCTTCTCCGAATAAACCCAGGCTGCTGGAGGAAACACAGGCCATCCCTGACAAAAGAAACACTGTCTCTCTGTTCCTCCTCCTAATAGATGTGGGGGCTTCTCCCTCCTTCATTCCCCAGGTTAATGGCTATAATTGGAACCAACAGTCTCTGGTAAGTCTATCTTGGGCTGGGGACTTTAAGGAGTATTCCCAAACAGCTGCCAAAATGCCTTTAATTTCAAGGAAGTTCCCTGTCTTCTCTGGCCTGACGTGGACTGCCGACCTCCACTTTAGTGGAAGGCTCTTCTGCCTTCCCCTCCCCCTCCTCCTGTTTCTGCACCACCTTCATGCACAGCCTTCACGACTGGCTCCAGTAGCATCTCGGGTGCCTCCAGCGCCATTGGTTCCTCCTCCTCCCCTCGCTGTCAAGGAGGGCAGAGACCCCATTGGACTTACACTGCCCACTTCAGATTTCTCCACCTGTGTCCCAGGTAAAAATTAACAATGGGGAACAAATTGACTGACTTTTAAGTGGACTCAGGTGGAACATAATTCAGTATTGAAACTAATTGAAACTTTTAATGCTACCTAGGTTTACTGAAGGTCAAATAAGCTCATGTTATCTCTGTTGCCATTTGTCAGCAAAAAGATGACTTAAAATGATGGTTAATTTTGTCTGCCTCCAAGTTTTCTTGGGTAATTGTTAAGATAGCTTTCAAAGTCATTAGTAACCTGAAACTTTATAAACGTTTGCTGGGATGATAAAATGGGATTGAATTCATTGGACATCCAAGCTTTTCCAAATAGGATGGAGTGCTGAAGAACTGATTACTAAAAATAGGTTTGTGCTTTTGGCTTCCTACTGCAGAGAAACTAAGAATATTTGGGTCTGTCGGAAAACATGTCTTGTGCTTAATAGATTCACAAACTTGCCGT